AACCCCATCCCAACCCCCATCCCCTCCCATCCCAGCTCCCTGCCCTCCTGCCTGCTCGCTGCTCCGCTCCCCGCGGTGAATCCTGCCTGAATCCACAGCCGGGCTCGGTGCTGCAGTCTGCATTCTGCCCCATCCCCAGCTCTGGGTGCTGGGACTGCTGTGCCCCATTGAAAAGCTGTGCCTGAGCACTTTGGAGTGCTTTAAAAACCAAATATTTAGAAATATTCTCTGCGGTAGAGCTTTGTATGCATTTGAAAAACTCGAGAATCCTGATCAAGTCTCCAGAGACTTTACAGAGAGAATCCCTGCCTCCCATGCCGTGTCATTTTTTATGGTTACGTGCTAAGTTTCTAGAAATACTGTGTTTGTATGTCCTGCAAAAGGAGGGAAGATATTCTGATGGCCTTCCTGTTGCTGCTGGAGGTAACAGAGGCAGACAGATCACAACTTGATTTTCAAACTGTGCGCCAAGTTTCCCATTCTAGAAGGTAAAAAACTAATGAGTTGATAAAGTAGAAAAATGGCATTTTACCTGAGGAAGTCTGACTGTTCTGGGAGAAGGACGTGTGTGACAATGTCAGCACATTCATCTGCCAGCCCCTGCCTGCTTTTATCTTCTGTGGATGGTGCCTGGCCGCAGAGCAGCCCCAGGGCAGCAGATCCCCACCCTGACACAGCCTGTGGTGCTCACTCCAGCCATGGCAGGGGGCAGCCCAGCCTCTCCCTGTTTTCTGTCCCAGGGGTTTCCAGCCTGCCAAAGGAGCCCCTGGGTGGTGAGAGCTGTGCTGAAAGTCAACCTGAAAATGGCACTTTAGGCAAGGCCCAGAATCTGCTGGTCCCTAAGAAGCCCCGGCTGAGTCTGGGATTGTGCCAGGCCCAGTGGCCAGCAGCTCCAACTCGGGGTATGGTGGCCATCTGGAATCCTTTGGGGTGTTTTAAGGGGTGAAATTCAAAGCCAGTTCAGAACGCAGCCCTTGAAGAAGCTCAGCCTGGGGAGAGGCCTCTGGCTGCTCATCCAGGACAGGCTCAGCCCCACTCCTGGGGGTGCATGTGTTTGGCCAGGGGCCACAGATGCTTTTGGCTCCCCGCTGCCTGCCCAGCCCGTGCCCTGTGAGCGATGGGTGCCCTGCACGGGCTCCTCCCGGCTCCTCCCGTGACTCGCGCCGCTCGCCGCGCTCGGGGCATCGTCACCCCTGTGACACAGACTGGAACCAGGACTCAAAACTGTATTTGCTCTCTTGCAGGGCAGCCCCGATTGTTTCACTTTATACAGTGCGTTGTTGTTCTTCTTCTACTTTTCGCAGCAACTCGTTTTTAATTCAGTTACAAACTGCTTGGGACCACGCAAGTTCCTGCACAGTGGGAAGCTCTATAAAGCCAAGAGTAACAAGGAGCTGTATGGTTTTCTCTTCAACGACTTCCTCCTCCTCACTCAGATCATAAAACCTCTTGGCTCTTCTGGCACAGACAAGGTCTTCAGCCCCAAGTCCAACCTGCAATACAAAATGTACAAAACTGTAAGTGCTGCTCCGGCACGGGGATGGGGCTCGGTAGCTCCATTATGGGGATGTTCTGGGATCTTCTTCCCAGAGAAGAGGTTTGAAAGCTTTGAGGTTCAGGGCTGATGGCAGGAAGGGTGTGCTCCAGTGAGATAAGAACAGATGTTTTTGAGGTTTTGCTTGAATAAAACCCTTCCATGAGGGCTCGTGTGCTTGAGGGAGCAGAGGGAGCGTGGTGCTGGCTGCTCTCTGCAGGAGGAAACTCTGCTGTGCTTGGCTGTCTCCAGGAGGGTTTCCAGGCTATGCTGGCACCTCTGTCTTTGTCAGCTTTTAAAATTTTCTGCAGAAAGATGGGAGGCAGAAGCAGGGAGATACTTGGGGCACAGATTAAACCTGCTGTGAGCTGATGTGTGCTGAATGCCCCCGTGCAGACTCTGCAGTACAACTCCAGCTCTGCTGATGTTTTACAGCCCATTTTCCTAAACGAGGTACTGGTAAAATTACCCACAGACCCTTCTGGAGATGAGCCCATCTTCCACATCTCCCACATTGACAGAGTCTACACGCTCCGGGCCGAAAGCATTAATGAAAGGTAGGTGCCTTCGTGGGCCTTTAAAAAGTCTGGTGAATGTGGGATGGGAATGGTTGTGATGGAAACTTGCAGAGCTCTCTCCAAGCTGGTTATTTTACAAGACTGGAAAACTCCTTCTTGGAATATGGTGACCTGAAAAGGAAGGAGAAATAATGATGTTTCCTGAATTCCAGCTAGACCAGTGAGGAAATGGCTGAGGGTGGATGTTTAGGCTGCATTTCACATGGTAAAGTGAAGAGGCCAAAGACGCAATTCTATCTTCTGCTGTTAGCTGGGATAGTAGAAGGTGTCCCTGAGGGGGACTGGATGAGCTTGAGGATGCCTCCCAGCACAAACCATGAATGTCCTGTGAAGCAGCAGCTCTTCATTTGGGGCTCCAAAGTTGATCCACAGCTTTCAGATTCTCCCATGTTTCCTTGACTCAGGCTCTCTTGTATGTCACAGCAGTTTTTCTAAGCCCTTGAGGTCCCTTAGTAGCCCTTCTGCCACCCTTTTTCTCTGTCAGCCTTCCCCCTCAGCTGGGATTGTTGGGGTCAGGAGCAGACTCAGTGATGTTTGTGGGTCCCTTCCAGCTCAGGATGTTCTGTGATTCTTAAGCATGAAATGATTTCCCAAAGGGCCCATTCACCACCCATGGACTGCCCAGGTTACACTTTTGAAGCCCTGAGGGTCACAAGAACTGGGTAGGAAATCTCAGGGACCAAGGACAGTGACCTCAGCAGCACCGGTGTCTGGTACCTCCTGGCTCCAAGAACTCAGTTTATTTCAGGAAAACAAAGGGCTGGATGAAAGCAAACCTGATCTTTAGAACTTTGGTTTTCTCACCAAGCATCTCCTGCTCGTGGTTCTCTTGAGCTTTCTTTGTGTGATGGTGGGGTTTGCTTCCCTGGGATGGTTACATTCTGCAGGTGCTGTGAGTTCCAGTAAGATCCCTTCCAGGATCAGGCAGCTGTGGGATGGCAGGGCCTGGGATGGGGCAGAGCCTTGCCTGGAAAGGAGGGACAGCTTTCGTTTTGTCTGCTGTGCTCCAGCATTTTGCAACATTTTTTTCTCCTTTCCTTCTGAAGGACTGCCTGGGTTCAGAAGATCAAAGCTGCTTCAGAACTTTACATAGAGACTGAGAAGAAGAAGAGGGAAAAGGCCTACTTAGGTACAGCATAGGATGTGGGACTCATCTTCTGTGGAAAAGTCCCTGGGCAGGAAAATCCACTGGTGACATTTTCTCTGTGCTCTTCTGTTCCACCACAGTTCGCTCTCAGAGAGCAACAGGCATCGGGAGGCTGATGGTGAACGTTGTTGAAGGCATTGAACTGAAGCCCTGCAGGTCCCATGGTGAGTGCCTTGGCTTTCTCTGCTCCATCCAGAAATGTTCCCTTCTGCCAGCCTGACTGCACAGGGTCTGTCCCAGACACGACTTTGTTAAATGACGTGGGTTTAAGGAATAAATGGGCAGAGGTGAATTTGTGCAGCTGAGCCGTGCTCCTGCAGCTGTCCTGCGTGAGGCTTTTGTTTCAGGCTGGCTTTGTTTCCACCACACAAGGCACAGAGTCCCACAGGGAAGAGTGGAGGGTGCTCATTCACTGTGATGTTGATGTAGCCCATTACAGAGGTGGTGAAGCAGAGCCTGGATGGGGCTGGAGCCTGGGATGGAGCCAGAGGCCTGGTGTGGCCAAGGTCTTTCTCAGCTCAGCTCTGTCGGAGCAGAGGGAAGCTCCCGAGCAGGATCACGCTGCTAAAAAGCCCCGCTGGTCTCTGTTTGTTCCCATCTTCCCAGGAAAGAGCAACCCCTACTGCGAGGTGACCATGGGCTCTCAGTGCCACATCACCAAGACCATCCAGGACACCCTCAATCCCAAGTGGAATTCCAACTGCCAGTTCTTCATCAAGGACCTGGAGCAGGACGTGCTGTGCATCACGGTGTTCGAGCGGGACCAGTTCTCCCCGGATGGTGCGTGTGGGGCTGCCCCTGCCAAGGGCATTTGCAAAGCTCTTTTTTGAGGAGGAGCATTTCTGCTTGAGGGAAATCGGAGGCAATGGGCTGGGTTGGGAGATGATCATTAAAGATACCCCAGGTTTGACCCTCTTTGCATATTTAGGAGTCAACTTGCCCTTGTTCCGCTCCAGTTTTAGCACAAAAAGGATGCAGCTCCCTCTGGGTTTTGAGAGTTCCTTTTCTTGTGCAGCTGACAACAAGTTAAGGGTGGTTTGTAATTCTGCTAAGGCTCCAGAAAGCTCAGGATGCTGCTTGCACATGGATGGATTGAGGCAGGAGGAAGAGAAATGACTTTGAGTTCCTGTTATATGCAGTAACAGTTGCAAAAATGAGCCCAGGATTCCAAACCCGATAGAATCGTGGAACAGTTTGGCTTGGAAAGGACCTTAAAGACCATCCAGTTCCAACCCCTTCCATGGGCAGGAACCTCCCACTACCTCATGTTGCTCCAAGCCCCATCCAGAGTGGCCTTGAGCACTTGCAGGGGAGGGGATTCCACAGCCTCTCTCAGTTCATAAGCTGGGAAAAATCACAGGGTGTATTTTGGAGTCACAGCCTCTCCAGCAGAGTTTGGACAGGACTGCTGCTGGCTCACTGACCTTGTTGCTGGGCTGATGCCCTGCTTGGCTGTGTCATCTCCAGCAGGTTCACTCTCAGGTGTAACTGTTCAGCAACTTTTGGCCTTCTGCTAACATACCATAAAATCCAGAAGTCCCTGAAGTGAGGCAGCTGTGAATTCCATGGTGGGTTTTTCCACTCATGGGCCCGTTTAGTTTTAATGCTGCTGCTGTTTAGCATGATCTGGCTAAATCCCCTTCTCTGCAGCCTCTGGCCCCCTTCAAGTGCACAAGCAGAGCTGGACTGAAGGTTTGTTTTCTCTTTTGCTGTGTGTGGGTGGAAGTTCAGGTCTTTCTGCAGACTCTGGGTTCCCTTTCCTGAGCACGTGGTGTTTTTGCATTCCAGACTTTTTGGGCAGGACAGAGATCCGTGTGGCAGACATCAAGAAGGATCAGGGTTCCAAGGGACCAGTTACAAAGTGTCTCCTCCTGCACGAAGTCCCCACGGGAGAGATCGTGGTGCGCCTGGACCTGCAGCTGTTCGATGAGCCTTAGGAGAGAGGGGCCGGTGTCGGAATTCAGCCAGAGGTCACTGCAGGAGGTGTCTGCAGAAGCTGTCACCGAGTCCTTGCTGGTGTGGCATGAAACTACTGCTCGCCCTTCACACGTCAGAGGGTTATCAAAGCAAACAGGAGCATCTTTGTGCCTTGATAATTCTCACTGAACACATGAATCCCAATTTGGTGAGGAGATCTCTGTCAATCTCTCTGTGTGGAACTTGGCGTTGCTTTCCTGGGCTGGTGAAACAATCCTGTTGTTCCCTGCGCCGCAGTCGGGAGGGCTGGCAAACCACATGGGTGGCTCTGCCTGCTCCAGTTGCCCTGCTCTTTAATTCCCATGGAGGAGGCAGTGTGGGTGTGTTTTGGAGGCTTTCTGAGGGTTTTCCCCCTTCAGGAGTTCTGTGCCTATTGCTCAGCAGAGTGGTGTGTAAATGTGAGTGAATGGAAGGAGCGGTCCGCAGCAAGATCTGCAAAGATCTTCATGACGGTACTGAAAAGACTTAGAAAATAAATAGTCTATATCTATAAACAGAGAAGATTCTATTAACATACCACTTCATGACTCGTGTTGCCCCTGAAAATAGAAGATGTCCAGGCCTTCTGCACAGAGGTGAATGGCGCTCCAACCCCCGGTCCCTTTGGGAGCCGCTGCTGTCCCCAGGAGTGTCGGTGCTGGGGCAGGGAGCCGAGGGTGAGGCCCAGAGCCCTGCTGGGTGCCGTGTGTGACTCCTGGCTGCTGCTGCTCCAGGGGCCAGCGGCACCTGCCCTGGGGGAGAAGAAACCAGCTCCGTGGTCATGGCTCCAGCGAAGTTCCAGCCTGCAGAGCCAGGTGTGCGGGGCAGTCTGTGGTGGCCAGGCAGGGAGCTGAGCCCTGCTCACCTTGTGCAGCCCCGTCCTGCAGCTCCCCAGGGAACCCAAAGCCATCGGGGGAATGCCAGGGCTCTCCATCCTTTTCACTCCATGGATAACAAGGTCCAGGCCCACATCCCTGTTTGGCAAAGCTCCCGGCTCCAGGCGGGCACCGACGTCTGTGTGAGTGCTCTGCTGAGTCCGGACTCGGGGGACAAAAGATCCCTGAGAGTCAAATTCCTCTTTGTTCTGCTTGGATTCCTTTTGTTCATGCCCTGTCATGCATCCACTGGTATTTTTGTAAGGACTTCATTCCAGATGGGAGGTGCCGGCCCGTGTCATTCGCATGTGAACGTTCTCGTGGAGCTGTTGTTAGGTTTCGGTGTTCCTTGCATGTCCTTTCAGTACTGGTTCCCACCTCTCCTGTGTCGGCGGTGTTCTCTAGCACTCCAAGTCTTATTGGTTTCCATTAGGAAATTAGGATATATCCATAACAGGTAGGTAGATCAGTATGGTAATAAGTGTAAACTGTGCTGGGAAGTGTCTGTGTATTATAATTTCCTAAAAGACCACTGTAATGTTTCAAGCAATGGGAAGGAAAAAAAATGTATGTTGGAGGGACAACAAAGTTTACATTTCATACTTTTCAGAATCGCTTTATTATTTATTTATTGAAGATAGTGTAGAATTTTGTATCAGAAATGACAGACATACTTATGTATTTTTTGAAACAAAACAGAGATACACACTTTAGTTAGAAACTTTCAACTGACCACATTTTAGAGGGAGTGTGACTTCCTAGGCATGCATTTGTTTACCACTAACTGGCTGAAAACACAGTTAAGAGAACTTTAAGTTTCTATTTTTCAATGTTGTTAAGAAAATTGTTTCAATTAAAATATGTAAATAGTACTAAACCCATGCTTTCCTAATTCCATATCAATACATTTTATGAAATATAATGTATATGAAAATACACATTGTTGTGGTAGGATAAAAAAAAGTGATAAAAATCTATTACTGGAGTACCATTAAATGTCATTGTCTAACCTTTTATTGCTGTCCTAATTTTACTCAGAGCTGCCAGCAGGGTGAATGTTCATTTCAGGGTTTCACAAGTAGCATCACTTTTTTAATAGTGTCATTTCACCAGCATCAGTTACAGTGAAGGCTGAACTGGCCAACAGGACAAAAAAATCTCGTGGCTGGAACGCAGGAACCTTGGGCAGGGTTTTGGAGGGAGCCGCAAGGAGCTGAGACTCATTTGGTGCTGCAGGTAGGGGATCTTTCCCTCAGGTTGAGGCATGTCATGGGCATCAGAGAATCCTACAATGGTTTGGGCTGGAGGGACCCCAGATCCCACCCAGTGCCAGCCCTGCCATGGCAGGGTCACCTCCCACTGTCCCAGGAGCTCCCAATGTCCAGCCTGGCCTTGGGCACTGCCAGGGATCCAGGGGCAGCCCCAGCTGCTCTGGCAATTCCATCCCAGCCCCTGCCCATCCTCTGAGAGGGGCTGCTCCCCCTTCCCCAAATCACCCAAGCTTTTTAGTGCACATTTTGGTTTTTGCCAAACAAATGGTATGGATTAGTTTCCCTTTCTTTTTTTCTCTTGTAAGAAAACCAGAGAAAAATTCAACAGTCTGTAGAATTTGTATGATCCTAAAAATTATGAAGGCATTGTCTGGCAATAGGAGAAAAAGTTACTCTTTCTTTGCAATTAATGCAATTAATTTTTATTGTTCATTTGCAGCACATTTAACTATTCCTCAGTAAAATACTGTACTGTGAAGATGGCTCCTGTTGGTTATTAAGGCATTTGCAATAGGTATGCATCAGGCAGCACTGTTTCTCCTAATGCCATTTTAAATTACTTCAGTTGCTGTGAATGTCTTGTTTCCTCAGTCCCCCCTGGTTTAACAATTCTATTTACAGACAAGGTATAACTAAACAAGAGTCCTTAAACTGTGCCCCTTGTGTGGGGCTGGTGCAGCTCCCAGCTGTGGTGGCACAGCTGGTGTGGGGCTGTGCAATGTGGGACACGGCTGAGACTGGGCTTGTGCAAGTGAATGATGCAAGAATAAATGCAGGGTTTTTAAAGTTTGCCTGTGTGCTGTCACATTCCTGAGAAGTGCTGGAGAAGAGGGAGATGGAGTCAGGAAATTGTCAGCTCTTCCCTCAAGCTCCGGGCTCTGCTCCTGCCACAGGGACAGCAGCAGGGAGCGGCTGCAGCTGGCCCAGCAGGGATTTAGGTTGGCTCTTAGGGCAAGGCTCTTCTTTCCCCACAGGCTGCTGGCACTGCCCAGGCTCCCCAGGGAATGGGCACGGCCCCGAGGCTGCCAGAGCTCCAGGAGCATCCAGGGATGCCCAGGCTGGGCTTGTTGGGGGGTCTGGGCAGGGCAAGGGGGCACTGGGGGATCCTGGGGGTCCCTCCAGCTCAGGATATTCCATGAGTCCATGCCTGTTTATGCTGCCAGCACCCACCTTGCTCTTGGGGTGGACCAGGCACAGACAAGCACAACAGGAAAAAGCAGCATTTTTTATTAACATGTTGTGATCACCCACCCATAAAGGGAAGGAAGCACCCAAGAACCGTAAAAGCTCAGGGACAAAAGCAACCACAAAAGCCGGAGCATCCGCAAAATAATCAAAAACTTCTGTTAAATACTTAAAAATATTTTTATTAATATATTAACATTTTGTTAATTATGTTAACAAATGACTAGTAAGTTAATAGTAGTAGTAAGTTAAAGTAGTACTAACTTAAAGTAGTAGTAAATTAATGACTTACTACTACACAACTGCTACATTACTCCCTAAGCTACAATAAAACACAGGGCAATGAGTTTGGGATAAAGGGAAAGGGTTAAAGGGCAGAGAGAAAGGAAAAGAGTTAAAAAGGGCAAGACTTTCAGTCCTGGCCACTGAAAGACCAGGAAAGAGAAGAGATCATCAGTCCTGGCTCCAGCGTGGTTCCAGCTGATAGGACATCACTCCTGGCTCCAGCATGGTTCCAAGGAGAGGGGATGACACTCCTGGTTCCCACGTTGATCCAGCTGTTGGGATGTCCAGGGTCATGGGCTTGGTGGAGGTGCCCTTTTATGGACTGGGTTCCCCACCCTGAAACGGGTTTCTCACCTCCATGCAAATTGGGTCTCTTGCACAGTCTGTCCTTTCAGACCCTTCTGAAAAAGAGTCAGCAGCTTTGGGGGTCTTTGGTGCTCTTGATCCTCACAATGGTCCATGGCCACTTCTTGGCCTGAGTCCTGCACTTGCTGGGTCAGGTTGCGCTGATCTCCAGGAACCACAACCAGGACGTTTCTCCCACCCAAGTGCTGCTCTGCCTCCGTCTCCAGGCCCAGCCTGGCGCTGCCGTGGGCGCTACTCCTCCAGCTGTGCACCCAGGCAGGGACACCGGAACAGCCCCGACACCAGGTGGGGACACCGGAACGGCCCCCGCGCCACAGAGCGGCACCGGAACAGCCCCCGCAGCGCCCGCAGCGCCCGCCTGAAGCGGGAGGGACGTTTCTCAGAGACCTGGCTCTGTGCCTCTGTCACTTCTGTCACCTCTGGACCAAGAGACTCGCTGGGCTTCTCCTTAGCAGCTGCCAGCTTGGGCAGGGCATGGGCTGCCTCTGCTGCCACCCCTGCACCCACATGCCTGGAGCAGCTGGGTGCCTCCAGAGGGTCCTCATCATCCACCAGCCCCATGGAGTTATTCCAGCTGTTATCCTGGATGTCATCTTCCATCTCTTGGACTTTGCAGTGCTTCCCTTTTGAAAGCACATTGTCACCAACGTTGAAAGCAAGAGATGACAGGGAGTCCAACAGGTCTTGCCATGGGGTCTCCTCCTTGCACCATTTCAGTTTGGACAGTCCTTGGTATCTGTCACCTTCATTCTCTTCCTCCTCCTCAACACCATAATCATTGGGAAAATTGGCTTCCAGCCATTCCACAACCTTCTGATGTCTTGATATCTCCTCCATTTCTGGCAGTTCAGGTGACGAGCTTGAATCTCTGTCCATACCACCAAGCAGGGCCATCCTTGTCAGCTCTCCATCCTGACATTCTTCGCTATGGGAGAGTGCTTCATCCTCTTCTTCCCAATGGCAGAGCTCTTTGTCCTCTTGTTCTTCCCATTGGCAGAGCTCTCCAGCTTCATGTTCTAGCCATTGGGACAGCTCTTTTTCACACTCCTTTTCACCTGGGGACAGCTCCTTGTCACTCTTGCTGTCCCCTCGGGAGTGCTCCTTGTCATTTTCCATTTGGTACAGCCTGACGTCACTTGTGCTGTCCTCAGGAGCGACCTCGATGTCCTCTTCCACTGAGGACAGCTCCTCATCAGTCGGGCTGTACCCTGAAATGACCACGATGGCCTCTTCTGCTGGGGACAGCTCCAGGTCACTTGTGCTGTCCTCAGGAGCGACCTCAAAGGCCTCTTCCACTGGGGACAGCTTCTCGTCACTTGTGTTGTCCTCTGCAATGCCCTCGATGTCCTCTTCCACTGAGGACAGCTCCTCATCTGTTGGGCTGTCCCCTGAAACAGCCACGATGGCTTCCTCCACTGAGGACAGCTCCTGGTCACTCATTCTGTCCCCTGCAATGCCCTCAATGGCCTCTTCCACATGGGACAGCTCCTGGTCACTTGTGC